CCCCCCCCCCCCCCCCCCACACACACACCCCACCCCACCCCGATGTCCATGCATTTCTTTCTTAAAGTTGATATGAGACCAGTTTTGTATATCCATTTGGTGTTCTCTTTTTTAACTGTTCTTACTGTCACCGGAAACTGATTGCTCCCATCTTCTCTCCATTTCCTTCTCTGCTCGGTTCAGAGTCGCAAATGGTGTCTTTGTTTTCAGTTAATGACAAATGATGTTTTGTAGATGAATGAAGATGACAAGATGATAGAATTGGCAGATGCAGGAAAACGTTTGGATAATCATTTAGAAGATATCCATCCTGAGATGGATTATTGTTTAGGTGACGACTACTTGGAATTGCTGGATTTAGATAACCCAACATCTTCGTCATCGAGCTCTGAAAATTCTAGTTGCTTGTCCATGTCATCGAATGAAGATTTTGTTACAATGGATGTTCTATGTGATGTAGAACGTGAAATTAACCATGACAGGGGACGAAGAGATGCTGCCTGCATCCGTTCCTCTGCACCCTTCAAACTAAAGAAGGAGGTGGTGCATCAAGTGGCTTCAGGTTTGTCCACTTATTTTTTGCATCCTCCTGTTGTTTAACTTTCATTTTATGCAGAACAGTACATTCTGCTACGTGGTTACTGAATGGAACCATATGGGTTTTGCTATTCTTTCGTATGTTCTCCAAAAAACCGATCATGATAGAGAGAATTATTCTGATTTTATGCCCATGCTGTTAATATTTCTCTTTATATATATCCGTGCCCTTTTGTTTGTCAATTATAGTCTCAGTGAGATCTCACATTGGTTGGAGAGGAAAATGAAACATCCTTTATAATGGTATGGAAACCTCTCCCTAGTAGACGCGTTTTAAAAGCTTTAAGGGGAAGGCTACCAAGGACACAATATCGGTTAGCAGTGGACTTGAGAAGTTACAAATGGTATCAGAGCCATACATCAGGCAGCGTGCTAGTGAGGACGCTGAACCTTCAAGGGGAGTGGATTATAAGATCCCACATCAATTGGATAAAAGAATGAAACATTCCTTATAAGGGTGTAACAATCTTTCCTTACTAGAAGCCTTTTAAAATCCTTGAGGTAATGTTTGCACAAAGAGAATAATATCTGCTAGCCGTAGGTTTCTGTTGTTATAGTCTCTCATATGCATGCTCGAGTAGAGTTATTTAGACGAAAATGTAAAATTGTCATCGTGGTTTCAACCATAGATTCACAGTTACGAAATGCATATTCACTTCAGATCTAAACACACAACGTCTCGTTTTCCCTCTCGAAAATGCAGCAGGAAAATTACATCGCTTACTCATAATAACTATCCTTGTACACAGATTCTCTTGTCACCATCATAAGAAGCCACCCAGCGGCCAAAGAGACTCCCAAAACCGATTCCTCGGCGAACATGAAACTCCCAAGCCAAAGTAAGAAAGAAGGGTACAGAATGAAAGGTGCATCATCAAGTTGTCACAACAAGGTCTCAAATGGTGAAGAAACAGGTGTGGATGGAGGAAAGAAGAGGGTTGGCAGAAGGGGGAAGAGTCCAAAGAAGAAGTACTTTTGCTTCTTTGCTCTTTAGATCTTCCTCCGCATCAGTTAGAGTAAGTAAGTTAGTGATGGGATTAGACAAGATTAACAATGGTTTTGAGCAGACTACTGAAGCCTTTCCTTTCAAGTCTGCAACATCATACCTTAAAAATTATCCTGTTTGATTAAGTTCAGTTCAGTTTGGTTCGGTTCGAACTGGGTTTCTAGAGATGATGTTCTGTAATTGTAATTGTAATTCAAATGAGTTGACTTGACTTCATTCATAGCTTGCTGAAGTCAATGTAATTGTAGAGGGTCCCACTCGTCTTTTGGGGAGTAACCAGCCCACCATTGTAACTAGTTCATGTTTCTTGAGTTGAAGTAAATGTTTTCGTTTATCTTTTCTTGTCGGGTACTTTTTTTTTTTTTTTAATGTATTTTTTAATCATATTTAATATTTCTTAACATGCGTGGGTTGGGCCGACCCAAATATTCGGAGGCCCATCACAGTGATGGCTCATTTGGGCCGATCCAAACATGCGGAGGCCCATTACAGTGATGGCTCAATTTTTTGTCCAAAAGCATATAATATAAAACTCTAATCACTAGAATTGATTATAATTCAACAGTGATTAAATGAAAGTCCAAAACTATAGTATAAAAATAAAAATAATCTCAAACAGTATTTATTTATTTTTGGGAAATATAAAATTAAAATAAAACAGACAATTGGTTGTTGTTTGGGCAAAAGGGTATGGTTTTTGGGGGGTGGGGAAAGGGAAATGTTTAGATAATTAAGGAAATGGGCGTTGTTATTTGTTAGGGGCAGGGGCAGGGGCAGGGGCAGGGGCAGGAGCAGGGGCAGGGGCAGGGCAATTATATATCGCTACTGCCCTACAGCGTACAGTGACAGGTGGGCAATTGGAGAGCCCAGCCAATCATTTTATTTCTCTCTCTAACTTTATTTATTTTTATTTTTTCTTTAAAATTATAATTTAAATTTATAGGGTCAATTTTGTCTCGTGAAGTGTGTATGACCGTTGGGGCTGGGTCCACTTACAGCTCCTCCTTCACAGATTATTTATTTATTTTGTATTTTCAAATTAGTTTACATCCCTCTTAAACTTATTAAATAATCTTTTATTAAATTTTAAAATTTGATCAATTATGTTATATAATTCATTAAAATCATACAATAATATTCGTTGAATATTAAAATTTAAATTGAAGTTTTAGAGGGAAAAAAAAAAAGAAAAAAAAAATAATAAAAATAAAAACTTTTTCTCTCTCTTTTTATGCCCACCTCGAAATGGGATTGTACCCTAGAAGCCCACAAGAATAAGGCTAAATTACAAAAATAGTTGCGCTGTCAATCTCTCCCTTTCTGGGTAAGTAATTATTTTGGTCTCAATTCATTAAAGATGGAGAAAGCCACTTTAAATGCATATTAACACATTGACGTTCATATTTATTGAAGTACCTACCTACAAATTATTTGTTAAAAATATTGAAAATATTATACATCAATTTTAAATCTTAATTTAAATATGAAGCATGAGACAAAAAAAATAAATATATATTTTTGTATTATTTTGGACGTACCGAAAAAGGGGATATAAATATTTAATGAATTAAGAAAATATTTATTTTATTATTTAGTATTTTATATTTTGGAGTGAGAGTAAGTAACGTTACTTTCCTTTAGGTCGCTTTTACGACGACGTTTTTGAAAAACCTTATTCCCTTCTTTGACACTTTATCATCATTACACATGCCTTGTGAGACATGCTTGCCTTTATCTGCCTCTCACCGTTGGATCTTTTGCGCGGGAGAATTTCATCCTACGTCTCACATTCCTCCGTAATGGCGGGAATTTAATAACTCGCCTTTTTTTTTTTTTTTTTTTTA